TATTTGTTTGAATAGATCCCTAAGTGGGTTTGTGCTTTACCTGACCATAATGAATGAATAATGCTTGAAAGTTTAAATATTTACCTTGTCACTACTGTCTCAAGCAATTAACTAAATGGTATGCTGTATTTTAATCCTATAGGGCCAAAGAACGTGGCAGAGATTTCCTTTCATTAAATTGATGTTTACTTTAGAAAACCAATTAAAACGTGTTACAAAGCAAGACGCTGTGGATTTTTATGCCAACGTTTTGTATTGAGACTGAAGCAATAAAAAAAAGAAACTAATGTTGCTTCTGATTTTTATAAGTAGCCAGCTTGTATAACACAGAAAATAGCCAATAAACTCATGGATAAATGTGGTTAGAAATGTCAAGAATTAGTACATTAATATAGTTTACAATTGCATGCAACACGTTTTCAAAGAGCTGCAATATTGATCCAATTTATATCTGAAGACTCATCCTGACGTAACTCACTTCTGACCTCATTATATTTTTGTACATGTTGCCTGGAAGGACTAAAACGTAGCAATAGGTGAAATATCTGCAAAGGTTTTAAAGATATAGCTGTTGCATTCAGTTACTGGTTGCAAAGTTTATTTTTATAGTGTTTTGAGCCACAATGCAAAGCCAAAGGCAAATGTCCACATGTGTGGACATTAAAGATTAATAATATTAACTTCCTTCTTCATGTTTTTCATCCACTTTGTGCAACACTCCTGTTCCACAATTTGAAAGGCTCCATTTTAATTTTAGTTCTTTAAATATGTTTCTTGTTACTGTAGCTCATTTAAAAATTAAAATTTTTTTCCATAGGAAATTTACAATCTTGGGGCAAACTTGATTGGTTGATTTTGGATCAGGGGGTTCTTTCTTGATCAGCTCCTCTGTTTTGCATAGGAATCTGAATTTGTCGTCAGCTTTTTTTTTTCCAAACAGTTTCTTTATCAGTGGAGACTTAAAATGTTGGTTCCTGGGTGTTCCTGAACCTCCAGTTGTTGTTTTTTTTTCCACCAGTGGGCTGCAGTTTGGGTCCTGGTCCGCCTCAGTGTGAGGAGGTGCTGGTGAATAGCACATAGCCGGTTTGAACAAAGCTGACGCCATCTGGGTCAGTTTTCCCCTGACTCCTAATTGAAGGCGAGGGGCAGTAACGTCCGGCTGATGGAGACGACGGCGGAACAGCAGCAGGATCCATGACTGAAATGGGAAATGAAACTGTTGAGGTGTAACAGGAAGGCTGAAGGTCAAGGGAAGGTTGAGGGGTTTGTGTGTCTCTGGGTGGGGCTGGAAGATTCTGGATTTGTTTTTTAACTGAACCTATAAAAGAATGTGTTCAGTTCATTTGCCACACACATGATCTCTGCTTGAAACCTGTGAACTTCTTTATCACTGACCATAGTTTATTACTCTTCTGATGGAGCTTGTTCCCCAGCTCTGCACGTCGGTGTTGTTCCTTATCTTGACTTTGGGATGTTTTTGTTCACTCTTCAGTAATTTCCTGTCTCCACCCTTGAAACCTAGTGTTTTATTTGTTCAGATCACTGCTGACCCAGAGTTTATCGGGATTTACCTCAGTGTCACGGTGGGGAAGGTTTTGTCCATATTTAAAGTTAAGTCAGTAAAACCATCAGTTATGGCACTAATATCCTTTCCAAGTGGCTTCTGTCTCTCGCCATTCTTTTAAAGGAGGAGTATTTTACATATATTCCCAGCTACATATTGCCATTTCATAGAAAAATCAAGTCATTGCGTCACCAACAGTTGATATACATACTGTATGCTGTGTATATAAAATATGATATAAAAGAAATTTGACTTCGTAATTTTACCAATTGAAGTGGGGCTTCTGTCTCTTTAAGAAGCTTCTACTCTTTCCAACAATCAGCCTTCAGCATGTCATCACAACATTGACAAGCTCAGCTGCTGAAAAGCTCAGCAGATCAGCAGGTTTGCTAATTGCTGCTGCTAGTCTAGAGGGAGCTGAGAGGGAACAAACATGCATGACAAGAATCAAAGCAACACTCCAAAAAATGTCTGTTTTTGATGAGGGAATAACATTATAACATGATGTAAACTCCAAAAAAGTAAATTTTACATAACACCCCCCTTTAAATCACAAGTTGAAAAAAAAAGATTCAACTTCAGGAAGGCAGAGAGATGAGGTTTTGATCTGCCTTTCTATGAATAGGTTTTGCAGATGACTGGTATGCATCATTAATGTCTGCATAAGACAAATGCAAAGATTTATAGGCTTTGGTGAAACAGTTGACATTCATTTTAAATGTTAAAGGCGTACTAGAGACATGCCGTTAAAATCTCCATATATTGTCACTATTGTTATTCACAGACATTGGTTTCAGATCTTTCAGCTCTATGAAGCTCAACAGACTGTATTCCCGATGCTGTGACTGACTGCTTGTCAGCGCTCCAAGTTCATCCATCCTATTTGCTAAAGATCTCACATTCCCCATAGTGAATAATGGAAAGAGATGAACTGAACTTCCTCTTTCTCTCCCTCTATTTTTCTGCTGCTCTAGATCCACAACCCCGTTTCAACTTTGTAGAGATTTGGGATTTTGCAATTTAGGCATTTCTTGAGCTTTTTTCGAGATGCTTGTAAATGACTCTCTTGTTGATCATGGCAGGTGGTAATAAAAAAGAAAAACAGAAACAGCAACGTTTCAACCCAAAAAATGGAAAAATCTTAATAACAAACAAAGTAACTGCAACATGCCGACATTTTTCGTGGTGCTATACAAGAAATCCACTAAAAATATTGTTCATATTTAACTTAACTGTAGTTTAATAAAACTATAATGCACACACTTTTCATTTGCGCCAAACTGGATTTTCCTTTTTAATTTCCTATATATAACTGGTGTATATATAAAAAGATTTGTATATTTTTATTTTGATAAAAGCATACTGAATAAGAGCCTGAAGTAAGACCTTTAGAAAATCCTTCACGATTTTGTTAATTTGCATTCTCCTTCATCCATCACTTAGAAATGAGCTTTGTTCCTGTTTCATTATGAAGAAAGTGTTGCTGGGAGATAAGTGGGTGGCCTGCATGCTGCATTACACCTAAGAGGCGGCGCAGATCAGATTAGATCGCCCGATAGCAGAGAAGCGGCTTGTTGCTGTGTGTTATTATGACCAGATGCAGAAATCTGATTCAATAACACGTGGCCTTTATCAGCATCACCCCTGAGAAATATGAATTTAAAGGCTTTTTATTTCCTCCCGTATCTCACAGCGCGAGTCAACAAGTGACACGCCTATCTGTGCCCGAAAGCGATTACAGTCGGGATGTTAGGATCGTCATTACAAAACAATTTCAGAGAAGAAATGTCTTTAGAACCATAAATCTGGAGTGTGTGCTCTGCTTCTGCCATCTAGTGGCGACACAGGAGCTTATTATGATGCTGGTGTAACATTGTGGGTTTTCTGATAACATTTTGAAGATAATTTAAAGTTTGTACAGCCGTAAAATGATCAGTTTAGATATGAAAACATCATTTATTTGTTTACCACTTTAATTTTTAATTTTGTTGTTTTTTTCAGGGTAATATTACTGTGTTAATAAGCTGTGGAAAACAGATGAGGACTAAAAAACCTCTAAAACTGGTTTATTAAAAATGCTGGGGGGGGTTTCTATATAACACAATGCAGATAATGCAGATAATTTACTAAATTCTACCCCAACAGGCACACCACCACTCCTTAAAACTGAATACTTAAGCAGAAAATAACATAATAATCTGCCCGTAAGTATCTACAATTTGTTCCACTGTTTTGTTTCTTTTTCTAATTGAGAAAATTAAATTATGACATGTGAAATTAGTGCCACTGTACACAAAATAACTGCTTCACTCCAACTTCCAGCTTTAACTTTTGCATCATTTACTATAAAAGGCAGATTGGGTCTCTGTGGTTTGCAGGATTACAAGCCATGGAGACTACTTTGCCATGTTTGATATAATACCTGACATTAAAAACTAATTTTCCTAAAGGTACTAATAAATGTTAAGCACCTGCTTCTTCACTTAAACAGATGGAAAAGGTTGTATAGTTGCACCATGAAAAGACATATTTCCTGGAAGATAAAAATGAGAGGGTCTCTTACGTCCTTTGTGCTGACATTCATTATTTCAGTACTACAATTATGGCAGACCCAACTGCTGGCAGTAAAGTGTCTTTAGGGAGAAACGTTTTAAGTAAAAAATGTTCTTAAAGGATAATAAGGAAGAGAAATCTCAGCCAAATGATTACATCAGAGTTACCAGTGGACTTTGGTTAAAACTGTGACTCTGCAGTATGTAACTTTTACAAAAATGTGCTTTTTTTCCGTATTTGTTAAAACTGTCACCATGTCGAGACAGTCTGGTATGAGACAAATAATCTGTAAAAAGATAAACTCCTCCAGCTCCTACTTAAACTACTATTGCTGTGTGCACTAACAATCAAAAACAACTAATCAGAGCCAGGAGGAGGGGCTTAGTGCTGTCAATCAATAATACTCAATGTGTTAATGGCACAGAAACAACTTGCTGTTCCAGGAAAAAAACATCATCACTGGCTATGCTAACTAGCATTAGCATTTGTTGTAGGCTACATTGTGGTGAACCAGCTGTTGCATAGCAGAGATCAAGGCATATGAGGTGAGCAGGAGAGTGATTGACAGCACTAAAGCCCTCCTCCTGGCTCTGATTGGTCGTTTCTGAATGACTGGTGTAATTCTGAAGTTATACTGGGAGCACTGGGAGAAGGCAGAGGAGCTCAGTTGTTTCACAAATTATGTCTTTTAACCCTTTCATGCATGAATTATGATTTTTTTTCAAAGCGTTTTTGGTTTTCTGAGGGCATAAAAAAGGTGGAAAAAATTTAGAAGCAAAAAAAATTCTAGAATATTTTCTAGGTTATTTGAAGAATACATCAGTATTATTATTTTTGTTTACCTGCAAGAGTAGAAGAAGGGACTGGATATTTCTGAGTTGGTTGGCATTCTTTTTCGTTTGTCGGCCATATTGGATTTAACAAATATTTTCTTGCACTTGCAGCTGATGGCCAGTAGTTGGCAGTATATTTAGTGTCCACTTCAGTGGTCTGTGGGCATTTATAACTTAAAAATCCATAAGAAAAACAAGAAAATGGCTTTTAGATAGCTGTCCTCTGCAGTGACCGCTATGCATGAAACATAATGCTCATGTTAGGAAACATGTAAAAAATATAAACATATTTTAGAAAAGTTACCTTTTTGGATTAAAGAAAATATTTCCTACAATACTAACTCATAACCACAGGTTCTGGTAAGAACCACCGTGTTTTTCTCCAGTGAGATGAAAACTTCACCATCACAGCTCCGTCTGCAGCAGAGTTATCACCTCATTGGCAACACCTGTCATCATTAGCTTCACATCAACATGAGCAAAGCTGAGGGAGGCAGCCGTAATGGACTGGTTCAACTGCTGATGCAATAAATCGAGGAGCCATGGAGATGAAACAAGGTTAGATGTTTTGATCTCCTCCTCCTTAAATCTAAAAAGAAGAATTTTATGACGCACTCTTTCTATTTTTAGTAAACCAGCTTTATCTAACCGACAGTGAAAAATGTTTCTGATTCAAAGTCCAGAAAGTGGATGCACTTAAAAACACACTCAGAGTTAGACTTATTAGGGTGCAAGTTCAGTTCAACAATTTATAGCTGAACTGAACTTTTCTCATTCTGCTCAAGCATGCCTTGTTTTAGCCTTAATTTTAAAATGCAAGGTTACAGTTTACAGGAATAAACATTTTTCATTGCTGAAGTTTTATTTCCCACTCAACGTAGACAAAATGTCAGTCATTTGGTACATCAGTGCAGCAAATTATTATTCCTTTTTCCTGCTTTCTTTAGATTTGAACAGATACTAGAAAGAATCTATTCCTCAGTTGTACATTTTGAAAGATGTGGAGACTTTAAATGATCCAAAGAAAGATAAATGGGTTCCACATCCAGAGGCAATTTCGTTCCTTTCCAGCTGAACTGATTCTTATTTCTCTCTCTTAAGCCGAGATACAAACTAGAATGACTCATTTAGACACTCTGCTGTCTAAAACGTACATTCATACTTAATTCAGACTCTGTTATATTCTAATAAATCATCAGTATGAGCCTCCACTGAGGGTCAAATGAGTCTGGCTTCTAGCACCAGCTGTACTTAAAGTGTTTGAGAAACAATATGAAGCAAAAGGACTAGAATGGAAAACTGGAGATGTTAATTTTAGTCATCAATTTAGTTTTCTAGTCTCTCCATGGTTAGATTAATGTTTCCTTTTCTTTTACAGGGAACATGTTTATCTTTACAGCTGTGATTCATTGGTGCCTCATGCTCCACGACGCAACGCCAAATATGTGAGTAAAAAGCCTCGTTATTTATATCTGACTGAATGATTTGTTGCCTCATAATACAAATAACACTCAGTCTCTGCACATAGTCTACATGGAAATAAATAGATGAACTCTTTGCTTTCTATGATCTACTTATTGTGGTGCATGAAAATGCTCTGCTCAGCGTAGTTACTAAAACAGCATTGCCTGAATATTGGAACATAAATAATATGATAAACATATTTATGACATAAAATAATATAATTTTTTATTTTTTATCATCTACAAACTGTTATATTCTGTCATGTTATCTGCATTATAAATCATAATATGATGTAAAATACCAACAGATTTAATCTCTTTTGACTAAAGGTCAGCTCTAAAATATTAGATGACTCTTTTATTCATTAATATTCTTGTTGCATGTCAAATCTGAAGCTCCACACTAAGAAATGAATCGGTTAACTTTTTGGTAAATATGCAATTATCTTGTCTTCTGGGCCCTTAAGTTGCTACCTTACAGAGTTAAAACAAAACATTTTTTTCTATAAAAATAAGTCCTAAGAAACATATTAGTTTGATTTTTGTCAGATGTTGTGTTCAGTTTCATCTTTCCCTTTCTGGTCTAATGAAACATTTAGTTGTTTTACAGATGAGGACAGATGTTTTATGTGCTTCCTGCAGCCTCTATGAACACAAACAAGCTTGTAAATTGCACCATATTTTGTTCATCCATGATGAATGGGGATCAATTTCCACCCTTGGCACACCTTCAAATATAACGTGGCTCCATTTTCTCAGCAGAGCAGCTTTGGTAATTAGAAAAGTAGTTACACACTTTAATTGAATCTGCCAACTGCAGAGTCTCAGGCTGCCTGCAGAAGTAAACAGCTGGTTTTAATGGTGGATCTTCCATTGCTTAAAACTGACATCACAGGCACAATAATTGGCTTCTTATCTTTTTAATTAAAATATTTTCATAATGTTTAATGGAGTAAAATAAAAATAATACTTTTCCAACTAGTTTAGTCTTCAGTAACATCTTGCCTCAGGTTTGTGTGAAAAGCACACTGAACAAAAGTTACTGTAAATGCTGAATTATTAATAAAATTTGGGGTAAAGTGTGCACTGTTTAATCCCACACTGGAATATTTTATTGGCTTTGTGTCCAAACTTTGGTTTGTCTTTAGACAACAAGAGTCTAGTCATCCAGTCATTAATGCAACAACTATGTCAGTAAAAACATTGATGTTTATATTATTGTTTGCACAAACTTCCGTGAATGATTAAATCAAAGAAGTAATAATGTTAATTCTTCTTCCTGTGACATTAAACAGTTTTGCATTTTCACAGCTAGATGTCACTAAATCTCTGCGTTGCACCTGTAAGTTAGTTGCAGTCAATATTAAACTGCAGAAACGCCAAGAAGCTGACCTTTGACCTATGAGAGCAAATGTACGGTTTCTGACAGTAAAGGTTGCGTTTTAAGAAAGACAGGTTAACGTTGGCCGGCTCTTGTTTTGTATTGAGCATTTCAAAGTCTTTGCCAGGTTTCTGTCACTGACATTAATCCGTCCTCAGGGCCAAATACCAGCAGAACCCGGACAGAGGAGATAACTGACGGGGGGAGAACTCTTAAAACCCCGAGCCAAGGACTTCTGGCAGAGTTTCTGATGCATTTGTGACTGCACTGGAGTCTATAATGGAGCCAAGGTAAAAGCACACATTAAACATTACAATGTAAAATCTCTAAGGAAGCAATAACAATAATTAAAGTTTGAGTCAGCTTCCTTTATTATGGCACTTTGTACATGACAAGTTACAAAGTCAACATTCTCGGTTTAGTTCACACAGCTCAAACTCCGTCGCATGTGACAAAAACAAGTTAACAAATATGGAAAGTGTTTGATGCTCACATTCAACACAAAATGTGTTTATTCCTGATCTGCATTGTCAGTAGGTTCAGATCTTTCAAGTTTTAATATAGTACTGGCATGCCAAAGAAAAGCTCATAGTTGCTACAAACACTCCTCCCCTCTTGTCCTGTTCTGGTGTTTAAGTTATGAAAAAACAAAAACAAGGTCCACTGACGTTCTGCATAAAAAGTTCTTCAGTTCAAACATCTGTTCTTCAGCCAAAAATACAGATATATTCAAGAAACTGTACAAAATCCATTCCGATTTGCAAAACAGGGACGACGTTGACGTATGTTGACACGCACAAACCGCAACATCCATCCACAGAAAATGTGTGCACAATGTTTTTACAGTCAAAATGACGAAGGTAAACAGGTTGCATTGAAGTGCTACGACATCGTTCGTTGGCACACCAGGAGTAACATTTACAGTTTTTACATCTGAGAGTAAGTAAACTGTCGACATGCATTTTCTAAAACCAGCTCGGCGAAAAATATCCCCGCATTCCATCTGGATATTTCTTTAATTAGTAGCTTAGTGATTAAGCTGCATCATGACTTGTCAGATGTCTTTCTCCTCTGCAGTGGATTGTGCGACAGGCTCTTGTTCTGTACATGATGCATGAGCAGCAGGAATAAACTGGAAGCATTCAGCAGCTGCTGTTTAGTAAAGCTGTAGAACTAAAAAAAAAAAAAAATCATGCTACTAAAAGCTGATATGTTGCTGTAAAGTTCAACGGTGTGAGGAATAAAATGTTTGAGATAAGGTTCAAAATTGAACTTGTGCAAATTAAAAGCATTCTACATGCTGTAAACTTTAGCAGAAGACTTTTAAAAGGAAGTGATCTAATTTGAGATGTTTGTCTTTCAGGAAAACTGAGATCTCTTCTGTTTGGACGCGAATTCAGTAAGTAGAAATTGTTCTGAATATACACATTTTTAAGAGTTGGTAATTATGAAACCAAATATGCATAAACATAACATGCAAAACTATTTATTACTTTGAGAAATTAGGCAATCAAATGGTCAGCCTTGCTGCAAAACTGAGGTATTTCTTTGCCTTCGTCTGCTTGTGGTGCTGCTGTAAATGAGATGGCCCTCGGTCAGTAAACTCTCTGGGCTGGCCACCAGCCTGGGGGTGTAGAGGTATTGGCTGACGAGAAGACCAGTGCAAGGGTTGGATGCTTCAGAGGACTTTCCAGGGGGTTGTGGGTATTGCGTTTAGGTCCGCATCCAGCTCAGAGGCACCCAGAAGGAATCGCGCTCCAATCTTTCCAAAATGCCGCGCAGTTCAGCGCAAGCACTGGCCGAGTCCTCCTTGATGAGGACGCGGTCCACCAGGTGTCCGTACTGCTGGTCGATCTGAACGGCAGACTGGCGCATTTCCTGCAGGTCTTCATCCTGAGGAGGAGGAAAAGATAGCTGTGGTACGCACTCAGCAGGACTGAAATTACACTTGAAAATCCAAGTTCCTAACTTAGCCTAAACATTCCTGCCAATGAGTGATTCAGTCAGCTGCTGAAAGTAACGAGTCGACGGAAAATCCTCTACTAGTGAGGAATGAATCTATCATAAGATCCAGGCTGGATTAAGTGAAGTGTGCCATGATGCTGAAACTATACAACATCTTTTTGATCACATTGTAAAAGTTTTCCTGTCTACTCCTAGTGTTTAAAAAAATTATTCAGTCTTTATTTTGCCGGAATAAAAACCTATTGAGAGTTTAAAAAAAAGGTAGTCCTGACCAAAAGGCAACAAAACATACAAAACATTTTGTCACTTGAGGAGCTACTTTTAGGACCCTGTGGAATCCATTTTGTATTTTCTTCTGCACAATTAATATTTGAAACAAAGAGAATTCAGAAAAATAAAGGCAAGATAGATGGCTCCACTAACTTTAGCCCTCTACAGTTGCTTATATAGAAAAAAGAAAGTAACTCCTAATAAAATTAGTGTATTGTAGTTCAGGACCTTTTATGTAGTTAAGATTTGTAGAACAATTGCAAATAAGCATATAATGTATGACTTCAACATTCTCTTGCAGATAAAAATACCACTGCACATGTGTGTCAAACATTAAATTTGTTTTCTTTTATACAAATCAGTCTGTGCTGTTTTTATTCACTTGTCAAAGTTATAAAATAAGTGAAGAATCCTGCCCAGCTTATTAAAAGGGCTCCTGAACATGAGCAGTACTTACCGTAAGGCGCCCGTGTTCGCCCCCTCCTGGTGAGGTGGCCGCACTGCGGCGACGCCGGCTCTCGGGAATCCGAGGTTTGACAAATATAACATATGGCTTGAACTCTCCAGTTCGTAGCCTCTTCAGCGCCTGCAGTGAAGACAGATTTACACACAGAGGTCAGGAAGAAGAGGCGGATCGGCAAAGTCGAGAGGGAAATGTCAAACTGTTTGCTGAACACATGTGACGAGACTGCAGCGTGTAACTCATTCTGACATGTTATGATAGAATATTTTGGTATCTGTTCTGAACATTCAAAAATAATATAAAAAAACCCCATCCTTCTCACCTCAGGCTGCACGTCAACTATACACATCTTATTCTTGGCTTGAACAGAGCGGATGGCCTCTATACTGGTGCCGTACTGGTTTTCCTTGTACTCCCCATGCTCTATGAATCTATGGGGGGAAAGAGAATAGATATTTTACCCAGAGTAGATGACGGTTCTGGTTTCTTCCATTTTTATAAATTCAGATCAGTTACACAAAGAAGTTGAAGTGAACAGCTAGCTTGAGAAAAGCTAAAGTACACTTTTTCTAAACATGAGATTGTGGTAAACTATCTATGAACCTTTACACTGTTGCTATGTTTGCATTGGGTGGATATTAAAGAAGCCAATAGAGGAAGTGACGCTCTGCAAATGATCCTCCTGTGCAAAACCACAAGCATAGAAAATTATTTTATGTTCTGCTAAAAAGATGGAAATGTTTTCTGAATTTAAATCAAGAACATTTTACCTCTGAGTTTGTGAATGAATCAAACATTAACAGATTACGCCCCCTGTGCACAAAGCTAGCATAGTTAATCACCACGGTAGCTCACACACTCATTTTCTCAAGTCTTGACCTGATTCTAAGTCAAATCTAATATTTCTTGACTTGTTTACATTGCAGGCTTACATCCCAATCTCTAGCATGTACTCAGCAACTGATGTTAAAGGCAAAAATATTATTGTCTAAATGAAAACATGCTATGGATGCTATTTGCTGCCTTATTTTGAACAGAAACACTAAATCATGGTTTCAGATGAGCTGCTGTAAATGTTTTGAACATAATACTTCAAAACATTGAGGTGGTTTAACTATGAACCAGTTCTTATACTTAAGACACCTCAAATGTAAACATCGAAACAGCCTGAAGGTTCATAAAATAGCATCAACCTGACGGCTGCAGCAGTTCTGAGAATGGAGTTGTTAGTTTCAGCCCTAACCTAGACTTCATGGTAGTTCTTAACTGTATGTTAGACATTAACTGTTTAAAAAAATTTAATAGGGACCAACTTAAAAAAAATAGGATCATAAATGTTTAAATAAAAATCCCTGATGCAGGAAAAACCTACTTGTTGTTTAAAGCGTCTGCATCAAACTGCTGTTTGGTGACAAAGTGATACTCCACTCCGTCTTTCTCATGAGGTTTCTTAGGCCTGGTAGTATCTGTGTTAACATTGACAAAAAGAACAGGGAACATTTCGCTTGTCGTTGCTCGATTCTGTTGGACCGCAGAGTAAAAATGCTGACACTTACGTGGAACAGCTACAGCATAACGATGTGGGTTTTCAGCTATCACTCGCTGCTTCAGCTCATTGATTCGTGCCCCAAGCGAACCTTGGAGAGAGATGTTGAGAACATATTGTGGTAATATTTGCATGTCATAAATAAAGACTGAGTCTGTGTTTAGAGGCTCTGACTTACCGATCAGAACCACCAGCCGCGGCCTCTCACCAGACCTGTGCTGGTAGCGGGTCACCTCCTCGTAGGTCAGGAAGTCTGTCTCTCCGATCTCCGAGTCCTCTCCGGACGATCCCTGCCGATCCTTACGACTCAGCCGGAAGCTTCTCCGTAAACCAGCTAGAGCAAGAAGGAGCAGCTCTGCTCAGCTGGAGCACACACACACCGCTCCTCACACACAGCTTGAGCATCACGAACAATGTCAGCATCATGCATTATCAAAACATTTGTCGAGGTGCATATATGCCCGATCAGAAGAAGTTGTTGATGGTGTGAATTTTGAGATTTCATGCTTCAGAGAATTTTATTACATGCAACTAACCAAAACCTGCAAGTTTTGGTTCCTTTTAACAAAGACATTTCATTGACAATATTAACATCGGTCACTTTTTGTTCAAGACATGCTGCTTTGCAAGAGGTTACAGTGTTGAGGCAGGACACAGAGGACAGCCTGGCCCAGGGAGACCCCGCACTGAAACACAGGGATTAACCGCAGGGTCTCCCACGGCCAGAACGGTCTGGACTCCCCTCCCCCCGTCAGATGCTTGAGCCGGCCACTGTACCTGAATAAAATTCCCAGGAAAACACCTGGCCACAGGAGGGCGCCACTGCTTTACACTTAGAAGAGACTATAACCGGTGTTAGAGCATCACACAACCCAGCCTCACACCTCCACATAAAGGTGAACGAGCAACAAACGTGCCTGGTTGAGTGTGCAATGCGTC